TAATCATAACAGTTTGAAAAAAGTTGCATCTGCTGTGACATTCAGATTTCATTTTGGGTGTGTTTTAGTTGCTTAAAGAAAGAAGACAAGAAACCTCCATCACTCTTCCATTCCTTGTATTTTCTCAAGAAATGATACTACTGGTTTCTCTGATCTAGTTTCCAGCTGGGATTAAAGGTTATTACACTTGTTTTTTAAAGTCTTGCTATCTTATTTTTGTTTCTGTGTAATATTTAAATAAAGATAAATATGAAACTGTTCATCATATCAAATACTTTAATTAGGTTTTCCAGTATTCTCAGCTTTTATTAATCTATCCTAGTAATTTAAACCTGGTATTATCATAGAGGGCTTTTGTGAGTGATGTTCTACAATTCACTGAGTGATCAGAATTTCTTGGGTCACATGAGAAACATATATAGTTTCTTCATAATACTTTATTTGAAAATATACAAGTAGGACACAGGTACCCCACATCAGAGGAAGAACCTAGATCTCAAGGTTTTACTTTCAGATAGCTCTCACCTTGGGCCATAGTCACTCAGAAGTTAAGATAAGAACATAAGAGACGCCAATGTTGGATTAGGCCAAAGGGCCATCCAGTCCAACTCTCTGTCACACAGTGGCCAAAAATACCAGTGCCATCAGGAGGTCCACCAGTGGGGCCAGGACATTAGAAGCCCTCCCACTGTTGACCCCCCTCAAGGACCAAGAAGACAGAGCATCATTTGCCCCAGAGTCCCTATCTATACCTTGTGGCTAATAGCCACTGATGGACCTCTGCTCCATATGCTTATCTAATTCCCTTTTGAAGCCGTCCATGCTTGTAGCCGCCACCACTTCCTGTGGCAGTGAATTCCATGTGTTAATCACTCTTTGGGTGAAGAAGTACTTCCTTTTATCCGTTCTAACCCGACCGCTCTGCAGTTTCATGGAGTGCCCACGAGTTCTTGTATTGTGAGAAAGGGAGAAAAGTACCTCTTTCTCTACCTGCTCTTTCCCATGCATAATCTTATAAACCTCGATCATGTCACCCCTCAGTCGTCTTTTCTCCAAGCTAAAGAGCCCTAAGTGCTTTAACCTTTCCTCATAGGGAAAGTGTTCCAACCCTTTTATCATTTGAGTTGCCCTTTTCTGCACTTTTTCCAAAGCTATAATATCCTTTTTAAGGTGTGGTGACCAGAATTGCACACAGTATTCCAAATGAGGTCTCACCATTGATTTATATAGGGGCATTATTATATTGGCTGATCTGTTTTCAATACCCTTCCTAATAATCCCCAGCATAGCATTGGCCTTCTTTATTGCAGTCACACACTGTCTCGACATTTTCAGTGAGTTATCTACTACAACTCCAAGATCTCTCTCTTGTTCAGTCTCTGCCAATTCAGACCCCATCGATGTGTATTTATATTTAGTATTTTTGACTCCAATGTGCATCACCTTGCACTTGGCCACATTGAACCCCATTTGCCATGTTGATGCCCACTTCCCCATCCTTGACAGATCCCTTTGGAGTGCCGCACAATCCTCCCTGGTTTTCACCACCCTGAACAATTTCATATCATCTGCAAATTTAACCACTTCACTGCTTACTCCCAACTCCAAATCATTAACGAACAAGTTAAAAAACATTGGACCAAGTACTGATCCCTGCGGTACCCCACTGCTTACCACCCTCCACTGAGAAAATTGCCCATTTATACTCACTCTCTGTTTTCTACTAATTAGCCAGCTTTTGATCCACAAAAGGACTTGTCCTTTTATCCCATGATTTTTGAGCTTACTTAGGAGCCTTTGTTAAGGAACTTTATCAAAAGCTTTCTGGAAGAGGTGGGTTGCAGCCTGCTCCCCGTCACTCAGCTGTTTTGGAAATGAGTTTCTGTTTCTGTTGAATGAGTATTTGGAGTACATTGACATTACTGAATCTGACACTATTGGGGGGGAGTATCTTTTGTTAAAAAGACTGTGGAGAACAAAAAGACCTTCAATTGGGGATAAAAGCTGTTGGATATTTAGCCTTACATGTTTGCTTCAGCTTATTCGACTACTCTTCTGTCTTACAATTCTTGCACTGTTGTTGTGTTTCATACTAATGAAGTATCGTGGAGGAAAAGAATGGTTCTGTTCGTTCTTTTAAATTATATTTATTTCAAGTATTTCTATCCTGCAGAGTCGGGTTTTTTAGGGAAAAAAATCACCAGAGAGCTTATAACAACAAAGCAACAAAGATGTAAAACGACAATTTAATAAGATAAAAGCAACGGTATAAAACTAAAAGCAGCTATATAAAACAAGCCCAAATCCACCATAAAAAGCAATTTCCAATATAATACCATATAAACAGTGAAAGTGATATGGCGGGGGGAGGGAAGCTATAAAAATCAAAATGGTAAAACATCCATACATCAACAATGTTTGAGAAAAGAGACATATTTTCACCTGGCACCTGGGCTGTGGGAAGGGAGTAGATGCTACAGCTCAAAGGTCCCTGTTCTGGGCTAAATACATTATAAAGCAAGAGAAGAGCGGAAATAATCTAGAAAAGCTGCTCTTGGAAAGCTTCATGTCTAAAACCCTTCAGTTAGTCAATCATCCCACTAGTTATTTAAATCACTTTTAAGTAGGTAGCTATGTTGTTGTTGTTTTTTAATAAAGTCAGTATCATTTGTTAATTCTTTGGAGAGATGACATTATAATAAAAATTGTTATAGGCATTCATTAGCAGGTTACAGACCGTTGCCTTTGAGCATACTTTGATACCCTCCAATAATTTGAACAGTTGGTGAGCAATTTCATTTTCACTGTAACACCTGGCCGGTTTTAAATTTTAGAGGCATACAATAGTTCAAGATTGTGTTGGGTAACTAAAAATCATCTCAGGAGTGCTTTCAGCAGCCTCTAACTCTGCATTTCTCCTTGGATATGTGGTTCTGAATGGGTTAGTCCCTGGTCACAGAGCAGCATCAATACATTAGTGACCTGCCAGCATTTTTTAGACTGGCTTCTTAGTCTTTGGCAGAAATCCCAAGGACTGCACAACAAATTATGAATGCCCAGAGGCCTAGAGAAGTTTTTAACCAAAAATATCAGACCTCTGTGCTGTTTAGCAGGATAGTTTTTTTAAAAAAAAAGTCAGGAACAACTTTCAAACATTTTTTTTTTAAATTTATTCATCAATTGGCCCAATTTCATTAAAAGGAGGTATAAAATTATAAATAAATTTAAGGACTATTGGGTAATAATTAGGGTTGTTACCCTCCAGGTGGTGCCTGGAGATCTCCTAGAATTACCACTGATCTCCAGATGACAGAGATCAGTTCCCCTGGAGGCAACTTCAGAGGGTGGACTCTATGGCATTATACCTTGCTGCAGTCCCTCTTCTCCCTCCCCAAATCCCACCTTCCTCAGGCTCAACCCCAAATCTCCAGGAATGTTCATGCCCAGAGTTGGCAACCGTTGTAATAGGATAAAGGGAGAAAAATGTTGGCGCCCAAAACTGGATTCATTGACAATGCTGAGCCCTCTGAATACAAGGCAATTTCGTATGGAACTGTTACTTTTCATGTTTGACTCTAGTGTCTATCGTGTTATCTACTGGGATATAGAACTATGTTTCTTAGCATTTACTGATTGTAACTTGTTTCAACTTGTTTCATCACTAAAATGTGTTGGAAGAAAATGAATTTTCTTAATTAGCAGAAGTTGATGCAGCCATTGTGTATTCATTTGTTTCATCTTGTTTCATCACTAAAATGTGCTAGGAAGAAAATGATGCAGAAGTTGATGCAGCCATTGTGTATTCTAATTTAAGTGGGGAACTGGACTGTTTTTCAATTTTTAAACAAGATAAGGGGGGCAACAAATATATTGCAGAGAGTTCATAGAGAATTCGGAACACTTTGTGAACCAGACCCAATATTTTCAAAACATAGCTATTGCTATGGCTTAAGTAACTAATAGTGTTACCAACTCTGGATTGGAGAATTCCTTGAGATTTTGGGGGTGGAGCCTCAAGAGGTTGGGTTTTGACAAAATTATAATGCCATGGTGTGCCAAATTATCCATTTTCTCCAGTGGAAACTGGTAACCCTACTTTTGCCCTCTGTAACAATAGATACCTCATTTGGAAACCTAGGAAGAAGTTGTTCCAGTCTATCCACATTTGTTTACACAGATTTAGACTGGAGTAACTCTGTATAGGATTGCCGTATTAGTTTGCTTTTGACATGTATATACATATTGTTATGTGTATATATATTTTATTATTTCACTGAGTGCATGTGTATGGCTACATTTTTAATTTTGCATTTGTATATGTGTGAATTCCATTATTCTCTCTCTGTGTGTGAAAGAGCACATTCACAAATGTGTGTACACAAAATACAGTTAAAAACAGAACTGCTGTAGTCTAGAGCAATGGTGCATAATAAAATTTTTGCCTCTGGCACTTTCATTTAGCTCAAGATATTTTTTGTTAAAGTAAAACTTTTACATTTAAATTGGAATATTGGCCTTAGGGGTTGTATTGCACTGCGAGAAACTTCATAGTGGCAGGGGTAAATTATTGCCTCACTTACCTTCATACTGATCTTCAGACTACAGTTTCGCTGCTCAGTTTGGTGTAGTGGTTAGAAGCGCGGACTCTAATCTGGGAGAACCAGGTTTTATTCCCCACTCCTCCATATGCTGCTGCTGGTGTGACCTGGGTCAGTCATAAGTTCTTTCAGTGCTTTTCTTTCATGAGCAGTTTCTGTCAAGAGCTCTCTCAGCCCCACCTACCTCACAGGGTGTCTGTTGTGGGGACGGGAAGGAAAAGGAGATTGTAAGCTGCTCTGAGACTCCTTCGGGTAGTGAAGGGCAGGGTATAAATCCAATCTCCTCCTCTTCTTCTTCTTCTTCTTCTTCGACTTTTTGTTGTTTTGTTTGCAAAAAAAATATCACTTAAAGATATATATCTATATCTATATCTTAAGTGTGTGTGTGTTTTCCCCCATCAGGTGATTCAGATTAATTTTGAAGAATTCGATCTGGAGATTGGCTATGACACACTAACAATTGGCGATGGAGGAGAAGTGGGTGATCCCAGAACAGTCCTTCAAGTGTAAGTCTTTTGAATTTAAAACCTGTTAATTTAATATTGTGTTAATCTTCTTTACAGAAAAGTGATACATAAAGTTAGATTCTTCTCCAGACAATCTGGTGTTGACTTCGGTGCTTGCATGCCTTTCATGCCTTTCATTTCAAATGATTTAAAGTCTAACTATCCTGGGAAATGCCTGGGTCTGTGGTAGAGTGGATTGAGGGCATTACACCTAGGATACAGCAAGGCTTTGCATAATACCCAAACACTATGTCAGTTTCTTGACTAGATCACAAGCAACATTCCTCTCTATGAACAGATTACTGTGCAACATGAACTCCCTTTCCCCATGCCTATAGAGAAATGCCCTTCACCCTGGAATTCACTGCAGCAATTCAGCCACTGGGACTGCACTCTCTCTATGAGTTGGACGCTGGCTGAAAACTTGTAGCCGGCAAAAGGGGGAACTACAGGAGATGCGTCACCCATTAAGAGAACTCTCCAGCTCTTAGTTATGCGTGTAAATCACACCTAAAAGGGACAGAGACTTGGGCAGCCAAATGTCTAAATAATATTTTCTTCCTTAAGAGGCAGGGGGACCAGAACAACCTCAGAGGAGGATGGACTCCCAGAAGGAAATTATACATTTTCAGGACACAAGGAAGAAGCTCTTTCTTACAATTCAGCTTGTGGCCAGGGAGGCACAAGCTACGAAGGACTAAATCTTTATGTAGGGACTTGGACTGTGCCTCCAGGTGGAGCCTAGAGTTCTCTTAGAATTGCAACTGATCTCCAAACCACAGAAATCAGTTCACCTGGAGGAAATGGCAGCTTCACAGGGTGGACTGTATGGGCATCACGTCCCCACTGAGAGACCTCTCCTCCCCGAGTGCCATCCTTCCCATTCCCAAGCACTACATTCAAATCTCCAGGAATTGCCCAAACTGAAGTTGATATCATCCAACAGTAGAAGTGTGCAGGAGAGACTAAATTGTATTTAGAGTGCATAGGCAAAGGTAAAGGTTTCCCTTGCTCGAAAGCCAGTCGAATCCTACTCTAGGGTTGCGGTGCTCATGTCCATTTCCAAGCCAAAGAGCCAGCGCTGTCCGAAGACATTTCCGTGGTCATGTGGCCGGCATGACGAAATACCAAGGCACACGGAATGCTGTTACCTTCCCACCGAAGTGGTACCTATTTATCTACTTGCAATTTCTTGCTTTCGAACTGCTAGGTTGGCAGGAGCTGGGACCAGAGACAGGAGCTCACTCCATCATGCAGCCCTCGGGTCTCGAACTGCTGAACTACCGACCTTCCGGTCTGCAGTTCAGTGTCTTAACCACATGAGCCACCACAGCTTGGTTTCAATCTCCAAGTCTGAATTGATTTTATATGTGTGTGTATATGTTTTCCAGTTATTTATATATTTATTTCCAGTCATGTACATATTTTATTTTATATATTTTATTTTATGTATTTATTTTCAGTCATATATATAGGTAGGTGGTTCTTTTTTGCTGCGGGGTTTGGCCGGGAGGGGCGGATTGGGAACGGGCTGGGAACGGGCGCAGCACGATTTCCAGATGTTGCTGTGGGATTGCGCCCGTTTGCTGCGGCCCCGATCCGTCCCTCTCCCGGCCCAAAACGTCTCGTGTGAACAGGGCCCCAGTTGATTAGTTTTCCCCTTGCTGTAAATGTTGAATGAAACTTACACGAATTGCCACTGTTGACTTAAACAGAGCTCAAAATGTTATTTTGAACAGTTGGCATCTTTCTGAATAACTTTTCGTAATGTGCTGTGATGTTCTAGTCCTTAGAGTGCTATAATCAGGATCTCTTGCTTGTTTTTTTTAATATCTCTTATTTAAAGCCAATCTCCTGCTAATAGGATTTTTTAATTTCATTTATGATTAGGTTAACAGGAAGCTTCGTGCCAGATTTAATTGTCAGCATGAACCATCAGATGTGGCTGCATCTCCAAACGGATGAAAGTGTGGGTTCAATTGGCTTCAAAGTTAACTACAAAGGTAAAAATCAGCTATCAGACAGATTTGTAAAATGGCATAAATGCAAGCTGTGTTTTTTAATGGCTAAAGTAGGAATATTAATACCCAATTTGTTTTGTTGTGAGGATATTGTACATTTGTTATGGACACAGAAATATCACGGCCACAAATATTCCTGTCACCATGCAGATTTTCTTTTTAAACGCACAATCTACAGGACAGATGTTTCTTCAAACCTTGGGGAACTCCCAGATTTATAGAAACATCTTAAATTTAAAAGGATTGGTGGGAATACAATGAAAACATTGTCACTGCTTGTTATTGCCTATTTTGGCAACCTGTGGTTGGGCCTGTTCTGCTGCTCTGCCCCTTCTGTGATGATCTCAGGTATGCAATTAGTATTCCTCTCCTAATAAATAAATAAAATTAAACAAAATTAAGAACTGGAAGACTGGAGGGGTTGGTATACCTCCTTTCTTCTTGCAGACCTTGACCCTAGAACCATGGACTGAGTTGCTAGATTCTGTGCAGCTGACAGTCTACTGTGGTTTAGGGCCGACTGAGTTAAATATAGTTGTTATTTTTATATCACACACACACAATGGTTTTCTGTAAGTTTTTTTTTTTTTTTTTTTGCTAATTTTTGTTTTATATTGCTGGTCCATGACAATAATAAACTGACTGGCTGACTAACTGTGGTTGTCTAAGCAATTTAAAATGTAAAAAGTGGGGGAGGGGTGGTGGAAGGGGACAAAACGTCCTCTTTCCTAAAGTCCTCATGGGCTTTCTACTTGGAGCTAATTCTTATGTACACCGTTTTATTGACAGTAGATGTTAATGACTGTCGTTGTTTTGGATGTCTCTTTGTCTAAAAAAACCCTCTAGTGATGAGGTGGAACATGAAAAAGAGCCAGTTTAGATTAGTTAGAGAAAACTTCAATAATCCACTGAGTCCAAGCCCTTTAGGTTTCTAGTTTGACCTAAATCGGATTTGTTTCCACCTGGATAACTTTTCAAGCACCCATTATTTCAAAAGTACCAAGACTGATGGGGTAATGTGGAGGATTCCTTTCATGCTACTTTCCTGGTATGGATTGCTACTTTTCTGCTTTGGATTTACAAATTGATAAAATGTGGTTTGGATCCTATTGTTGTTAGGTTGCTTTGTAACTGGTTGGCAGATCACACTCAAAGAGTGCTTTAAATGGTTCCTCATCCTCTTGGAGAGGAGTGACAAGTGAAGTGCCTCAGGTTTTTTCCCTGGGCCCTTTGTTGTTTAACAACTTTATAAATGACTTGGATGAAGGAATAGAGGGGATGCTAATTAGATTTACAGATTATACTAAATTGGGAGAGATAGCAAATAAAAGAGAAAACAATCAACATTCAGGATGATCTTGACAGGCTGGAAAATTGGGCTAAAACAAAATGAATTTAAAAACAGCTAAATGTAAAGTTGTGCATTTAGGCAGGAAAATCAAATGCATAATTATAGAATGGGGGAGAATTGTCTTGGCAGTAGTACATACGAAAAGGATCTTGTGGTCCTAGTAGATCATATACTGGAGTCAGCAGTGTGATGTGGTAGCTAAAAAGGAAAGTGTGATTTTGGGCTGCATCAACAGAAGTACAGTGTTCAGATTACATCACTTTGCTCAGGTTAGACCTCACTTGGAGTATTGTGTTCAGTTTGGGGCACCACAGTTTAAGAAGGATGTTGCTGAACTGGAATATATCCAGAGGAGGGCAACAAAAATGATGAGGGGTCTGAAGACCATTCTATGAGGAAAAGTTGAAGGAGGTAGGTATGCTTAGCCTGGGAAGGAGATGATTGAGAGATAATATGATAGCCATCTACAAGTATTTGAAGGACCATCAAATAGCGGATGGAGCAAAGTAGTTTTCTGTTACCCTGGAATGTTGGACCAGAACCAACGGGTTGAACTGAACTGGAATATATCCAGAGGAGGGCAACAAAAATGATGAGGGGTCTGAAGACCATTCTATGAGGAAAAGTTGAAGGTAATGGTTTATTAATGCTGGGTCTTAAGTGGCTTTTCTGCTTGAAGTTAGCTGATTTCCCCTTGCGTGGTGATTTACCCAGCATGGTGTAGTGGTTAAGAGCAGTGGACTCTAATCTGGAGAACTGGGTTTGAGTCCCCACTCCTCCACATGCAGCCGGCTGGGTGACCTTGGGCCAGTCACAGTTCTCTCAGAGCTCTCTCAGTCCCACCTGCCTCACAAGATGCCTGTTGTGGGGAGAGGCAAGGAAGGCGATTGTAAGCTGCTTTGAGACTTCATCGAGGTATAAAGGCCTTCTTCTTCCTGAAGAAGAATTAGGGTTAGGGTATCTGATGGACGTGTGTATGCACATGAAAGCTTATACAAAGAATAAAACTTGGTTGGTCTTAAAGGTGCCGCTGGACTCAAATTTTGTTCTGCTGTTACCCACCTGAGAAGGGGCTGTGGTGGCTCAAGTGGTTAAGACACTGAACTGCAGACCAGAAGGTCGGTAGTTCAGCAGTTCAAGACCCGAGTGTGCCGCATGACGGGGTGAGCTCCCGTCTCTGGTTCCAGCTCCTGCCAACCTAGCAGTTCGAAAGCAAGAAATTGTGAGTAGATAAATAGGTACCACTTAGGTGGGAAGGAAACAGCTGCGTCTCAGCATCTAGTCATGTCGGCCACATGACCACGGAGAAGTCCTCGGACAGCGCTGGTTCTTCGGCTTGGAAATTGCAAAATGTTATCCACAAACATCCAATAAGTGTTGGAAATGTAAATCTAATGTGGGGACCTTTTATCACATGTGGTGGAATTGTGGTAAAATGCAAAAATACTAGAAAATGGTACAATTATTTTTGAAATATTAAATCTAGACGTCTCGTTAGCACCTGAAATCTATTTATTGAATGTAACTCCAAAGGGGTGTGCTAAACAAGATGCATATCTGCTAGTATATATTGTAACTGCTGCAAGAATTTTAGTGGCCAAAAATTGGAAAACAGATAAAATTCCCTCGAAAGAAGATCTAATAACTAAACTTCTTGAGTTAGCGCAAATGGACAATTTGAGTTTAATTTTACAAGATAAAGACCAAAAGATACAGATTACAAGATGGACAAGGGTTTATAACTGGATAAAGCATGTAAGAAAAGAATAAGAGGAAAGTAAAATGGAATGTATATAAAGTAGTAATATGAAATGCAACTAGGTATAATGACTCTAAAATGTGTGTAATCGGAAATATTGAAATGTTTGTAATTTAATTGAAAATTTGTAAAATAAACGTAAAAAACCCCAATGCTGATTCTGTGAACTTAGGCAAATCATGAGAGGGAGGTCAGGAAGGAATGTGTTAGTGCCCCGCTCTTGTGGCCCTTTCTTATATGCCCAGGGTAATGCCAATTGCTAGGGGCCATGGTGGCTCAGAGGTTAAGATGCTTAGCTGCAGACCAGAAGGTCTGTAGCTCGGTAGTTCGAGACCCTAGTGCCGCATGACAGAGTGATCTCTCTCTGGCCCCAGCTCCTGCCAATCTAGCAGTTTGAAAGCAAGAAATTGCAAGTAAATAGGTACCACTTTGTTGGGAAGGTAACAGCATTCCATGCACCTCGGCATTTAGTCATGTCGGTCACATGACCATGGAGACGTCTTCGGACAGCGCTGGCTTTTCAGCTTGGAAATAGAGATGAGCACCAGCTCCTAGAGTCGGATACAACTAGCTTTTGAGCAATGGAAACCTTTACCTTTAATGCTAATTGCTACTTTGGTGTCAGGAGGGAATTTTCCTGCAGGCCAGATTGCCCCAGGGATCCTGGAGGTTTTTTTTTTCTTCCTCTGGGCATAGAACTGGGGTCACTGGGGGGGTGGGGGAGGTAGCTGTGAATTTCCTACATTGTGCATGGGGTTGGACTAGAAAATTCAGGCCCTGGAATATGGTTGCATTCCATATCCAGACCATATCCAGACAAGCCCCCTCCCCCGTCTGAAAGTTAGAGCTGGCTAATATCTTTGCTGTGGTAGTCAGTAAATGCATTTCTTCACAAAGGATATTTTTTGGTGTTGCCCCCAACATGAAGAGTACCTTAACAGTAAGATCAGATAGTGGAGCAGGAAATATATCAGAGCCTTAGAACTTCTGCTACTGGAACAATTTTTTGTTGATCGTGCACCCCCATCCCTGCAGATCCCTCCTTTGCCCCCCATGAACCAAAACTTAGGGTCATTTAAATGAGCATAGCGGGCTACAGCAGGAGGGTGAAGGCAGGGAAGTTCCATTAATTCAGCATTAGGTAAGAAATGTAACACTTAAAGTGTGATGTCTGTATTTTGTAACACTCAAAAATATGTCCCCGTTTTATGACAGAAAACGTAGGCAACCATTTTATTGGCAGCTTGCTTAAAGTGCAGTGAGGCCTGAGAAAGTGTCTTGTGGGGGCAGATCTTATTTGTGTGGGCCGCCAACTGGCCATCTCTGTTAAAAACTAAAGACCAAGTTGGGTGAAATTTGAATAGTAAATTGGTTTGAAAATTGGGCCAAGAGTGTTGTCTGTGAAGATTTGATACTGGTGATCTCAAGTAGATGAGGAACAGGTTTCTTTGAATCAAAAACTGAACTTCCAGTGGAAGCCACACCTGTACAAATATGGAAAGTACATCTTTTGCACAATAAAACTAAATTCTGTATTGAGACTTCTGTTTTTCCTCCCTTCCAAAGGATGAGCCATGGGCAGTATGGTCAACAGTATTGGAAACCAGTCTATTGTCTCTACATGGTTCTATATTTAGATGTACTAAAAGAGCAGAAGAAAGGGACCTGGAGGATTTGCTCCTAAATGGATATGTGCATTATTGATCCTGTACTGTCTGCTTGGCTATGTTTCTCTTTTAGTTGTTAGAAGGATATGGGTATAGAAATTTATCTTCAATCAACCTGTAAAAGGCATATGAATGGCCAGTGACAACATTTACGCCAGGAGAACAAGTCTGAAAGCATTCAGTTTAAAAAACAAGTTGGCAAATC